TTAGGTCGTGCTGCCCTGTAACTCGAGCGTGACGAGGGCTCTGGAGGCCTGGTAAGAGGTCCAAGGGACTGCCTAAGGGGGAAGGTGGTTCTGTGGCTACTTGGGGCTGGTATCATGACGACGCGGGTCAGAGCCGAGGTGGGTCGTTCCACCCTGTAGCCTAACAGATGGGAGTTTTCTGAGGTAGGTCGCTCTACCTCGTCACCTAGCAGATGGGGGTGTGAGGCCTTGAAGAGTCTTGATATTGAGGAGGGAGGTTGATGCCGGTTTGAGGTTAGGATAGTTGAGTGTCAATCTACCTTGGTTTTGGTTTTGTTGCTTTCTCTCGGAAAGATGCCTCTGTAGTGTTCAGATTTTCTTACTACCTATTACTACCTTTTGCGAGTGGACTACTTCTATTCCTCTGCTTCGAAATATGTGGTGGAGGAGGTCGGCTCGTCGAAGGAAGACGAATAGTAGAAGTCTACTCTCAACCACTATGGGACTGGGTTAGGTTGTTTGTCTACTGTTCGTATCTTCCGAGCTATGTGGTGGAGGAGGTCGGCTTGTCGGAAGATTATGAAGAGTAGGGGGTAAGCGGGAGGGACTTTTGATGATTTCTGTTGTAGGCTGTTCTTGCTTCATCCCGCGAACTATGTGGTGGGGGAGGTCAGCTCGTCGCGAGATGAAGAAGACTGCTGCATGCTGCTGCTCTTTGTGAGACCCTGTGAACTCATCTCTTGCTGCTGCTTCTTCATCCCGCGAACTATGTGGTGGAGGAGGTCCGCTCGTCGCTGGAAGAAGAAGGCAGTAGAGAGAGTCTGCAAGGACATGCGATGGCCTAGTACGCGTCCTACTAGTGAGGGGGCTAGCTAGTAGGGTAGGAATAGGGCACAGCTAAGTTTTTCTGGAGTGGGGGTCAATGAGCAGTTCAATGAGCAGTTGGTCAAAGCTCTGTAGTACATGCAGGTTTTCTAAACACTCCTTAAGTTTTCAAAAAGAGTTTTCTGAACGTACTCGTTATGGGACACAGGGCCCGGTTCCCAGTTTGTGCAAATTTGTGAGGATATGGTTGTATCTATGGGACGCTGGACCCGGTTTCCATTTCAAAAAAAAAAAATGTAGCTATGTGGTCGGATCTATGCCCACCTTAAACAGAATCTATGCCCACCTCAAACAGAAGAACGGATTGCACGACACCCAAGAATCTTGGGCGTGGTTCCAGAAGGGCAGGGACAGCAGAAAGGGAGGCCTCCACAATGGGAAGGGTACTGGCAGCAGCCGCAAGGGAAATAGGGACTCCCGTTTGGAATGAAAGAAGGGCCACAACCCACTAACTGTTTTTTTTTTTTTTTTTTTTCGTTTTTTTTTTTTTTTTTTGGGGGGGGCCGGGGGAGGATACGACCGTAGACGTATGGCAGTCACCCACAGTACTCGGCCACTCTGTTGTCCAAAACTGTTACAGAGGATCACTCTGGATAGCGCGGTGATAATGCTGTATCAATGGGACGCTGGACCTGGTTTCCGGCAGGTGACGCTCCCCATCAATAGATGGAGCAGCCCGCTAGTGCAGAGACCTCAATCTTTGCGGTTCACTCACCACTGCCGGGGGCAAGGTCCCACTTGCGCAAATGAGGAGATTTGGGCCGTTGATCTTTGCTATCTACGGTCAGTATCTCTTAATTCGTGCAAGTGGGACCTAGCCCCGGGATAGAGGCCTCGCGAAAAGGGCTTTGTCATTATTTAAAAAAAAAAAAAAAAAATCCGGGCTGGGCAAGGTGGGGCGCTGTAGAAAAAAAATTTGGCGATCTCTGAAGTGGTACCGGTGTCAGCTTGACATCCGCGCCCGATGTATGGTGTACTGGTGGTTCAAATGATCTGACGTCAATTATGCCAAGACGTAGATGTATCTGACCCCAAATACGTCCGAATACGTCCGGATCGTAGCGGCGGAAGTCCAAGTGGGAGTATGCCCTCAGATGATCAAACCAAGTACAAACAACACACGCGCCTCTTCCCCTTCGCCTCCGTTACCAGTCTTTTTTTTTTTCTTTTTTTTTTTCAAAATTTGGACCATTTCTGGATTTGTGCGTGTCATCCGTGCGCAGGGGCCTTGTCCCACTAGCGAAGTATTAGACGATGTGTGACACTTTTTTTTGTGCTCGTTCTAGGAAGGGCAGGGACACGAGAAGGAAAAATATTTTCCGAATTTAAAAAATACAAGGAAATCGAATCGCTTTTAAGACGAATAGAAAGTGCTACCAGTGAACCTTGCTTGCGAAGTAGACCCCGAATCCAAAGCAGAGTGGGAGGGCCTCAGTTCCCGCTTAGGGCCTCGCCACACCAATGTCGAAAACTGATTTTTCGGCGTTTTCTCCTCGCCACACAGCATGTCGAAATCCGAGATGCAAAAAACATTCAGGAGCTGTCAGGGTGAAGGGTTTCGACACCTCCTCTCAAGATGGGCTCGTTTCCCAGCCTGCAACTTGGACATTTTCAAAAGTCCTCCGATGGGATGTCGAATTCTTGCCTGAATGTCGAAAAAGAGAAAGCACCAACGCTTGTCCTATCTTCACCCCAGCTTGTTTCTTTTGTGCATACAACTCGTGAGTTCTTCACTTGGACATGCGGTGTGGCGAAGAGGGGTTTTCTGTCGAAAGAGGGAATTATGTCGAAAATCTCCTGACATATGTCGAATTTCGTGACATCTCCACATTGGTGTGGCGAGGCCCTTACTATGTTCCCTTCCGTTTGAGCGTGGGTAGACTTGCTGTCAGCATCCCTGAAACAAAACACGAAGAGGACCTAAGTGTCTCCTTTTATTTCTTTTCATGATTTTTAAAACCAAAAAACACTATAAAGAAGTCACAAAAACAACCCCCCCCCCCCCTTTCAAATCCTTGAAAACGCAACTTCCCGCCACTGCATATGCACGAACGAAAATGACAACTTATTCTTTTCTTTGCTGCGGATTGACGGGGAAGGCGAACCTCAAAAGTGATACCCGTCAATATCATGTCGGCCGTCCAGATCCCACACCTGTCTCTTATACACATCTAGATGTGTATAAGAGACAGGTCTAGCATCGCGTGACTTCCTTCCGTCTGACAT